AGCATATTTACACTGTTTGAATCGTTCCCTGTCCCCTATATAGTGCACTACGTGCCATTCACCGTACAGAAAATACTAATTCTGTGGACAAGTTACCGATTTCAGCCGCGGCGGCTTCAGCGGCTATTTTATAGTGTAGGGGGCGGGGCTTCGGATTGTAGAGAGCATTTGATTGGACAGAAAGTTTGATGAGAAGTTACGATGTGACGTCAAAAAAATCATTGAGCCGTTTTGGCGGAAGTGACGAACTGCAAGCTTTGAATGCTTATATCTTCTAAATGCGAATTTTGTCACTGTTTCGGAGCACACTGCCTTATAGATAACCTTAAGACTAACATATTGATACTAACTCCCAAAAAACTTTCATTTTGATTTCATGGGGACTTTAAATAGTTATTCCGTGATACACTATTGTGTATGTTTTCCTCTCTACTTAATTTATACTTAATTGTTTTTTTTAATAAAAAGATATAAATATTGATATAATATTGGGGGGAAAATACAGATATTTTATCTACAGACAGATTTGAAAAAATCCTTTAATAAACATCATAGCAGTCCTGGCCAGGTTTTTATAGGTTCTAATTTTTTACTTGATTTGTATTATTAATAATATATTACTTATTTAAAATAATTATAATTTTAAATTTTAACCAATTCTGACCAAATTTTTTTTTCAGGTGTCAATTTATGACCGATAGTTTTAGTGTAGTTTTATCAGTGTTTATTCACTTTTTTAGTGCATAATTCTTTTTAATAAATATCTGTATACAACAGAAAGATAATAAACATTTGACATATTTAGTTTTTATTTTTGTTTTACGGCATAAAACATACACCAAATAAATATGCGGATGATCAGCTGTGGAGCAGCTGAAAATGAGAGTAATTAGGTTTATTATGTAGTGACATTTAATTAAATATAAATAATAGATAAACTGAATTTAAAAATGTAAACCTTTTTAAATTTCAAACACAAGCTCGCCTTATCATCATATGTTCCCATGATCATGAAAAACTGGAAATTGTGATTTCCAGGCCTGGTAATTCATGGAGATTTATGTGGTAAATATTAATTTTCCTATTTATGCATTTTAAAAAAATCATTGTGTACACATAAACCAGTGGCCAAGTGTAACTGACCTTTCAGCGGGGTGCTCGTCTCAGTGTAAGGGGGCAGTAATTACTGCTGTGACTGACACTTCTGTATCTAACTGAGACAGCGATTAGAGGGATCAGACAAACACCCACAATTACCATCACTCAGACACACACAGCTGTATGGAAACAGATGGCAGACCCGACTTAAACCATCTGTGACAATACCCCACAGATCTGTAGTCAGTTTTTCAACAGCAAAGTCTGCACATAACTTGCAGAAAATAAAAATAACATAGGCTTATTTAAGTGGGACACAAAACTAAGTCATTACACTTAGATCAGGATAAAGCCAAGCGATTAAATAAGTAAGAGTTGCTCGGCATGCAGCATTGACTCCGCCGTCTCTGATGCAGCTTTTCACGTACGCTGCGGCTAATGCGCTTTAAATGTGCCTAAAAAATACCAGGCACAGAGTGAGATGAGTACACCCTCTCTGCTTTGGCTCGACATCCTTCACAGAAAATTAATCAGATCTGCAAACTCAGAGCAGCTGCTGGGATGTAATCAAAGGCTCGTAGGCTCAAAGTGTTCATGGGCCGGTCAGAATTGACTGATTAAAGTCATCTTGGGCATCTTCAGTCGTTCATTTCTGCTCATTTCAAGATCATCCAATAAGAGGATCTAGCAGGATAATGGACAACTACACTTTTTAGTTTCTTAAAGAGGTGTGAGTGGTGCCAGGGTGGTTGTCAGGTTGTTGCAATGCAGTTGCTAAGGTGTTTGTAGTGGTTTTAATGTGTTGCTATGTGGGGTGTTCTGGGTAGTCGCTTTCTGCTCCTATGATATTCTAGGGCAGGATTCACGAATTGCCCTGGGGGTAAGCAGATAAACATCAAATTTTCATTTTTGGGTGAACTATCCCTTTAAGAAAGATTTCAAGAGATTTCGAAGTGGATAATGAGATAAATTCTAAGAATTCTTAAATATTTTCTTAAAGGGACAGTTCACCCTTAAATGAAAATGTGCTGTTAATTTACTCACCCTCATGCCATCCAAGATGTAGGTGACTTTTTTTCTTCAGTAGAACAGTAAAGGAAGATTTTTAGCTGAAACCGTGATCCTTGGTGATTCATATAATGCAAGTCAGCGGCTGCATGTTTTTGAGAGAACAAGATACAAGGCAAGGGAAATTTCTCAGGGGGAGTAATCGTAGTCCTACGCCATGTATCACTTGTTCCTATACATGCCGATCTGTCTTGTAATGTGCAAACCACTTCATGAGACCCAAATCGGTCGTGTAGTGTGAAAGGAACAGCGGCATAAGTATACGCAATTGTAATAGTTATGCTTATTGATGTTATTCCTTTCTCTTCAAGGAGCTGGAGGAGCAGTTGGAGGATGGGCGTCGCCAGGTGGCTGAGGCTGAGGGTGTGGCGAAGAAGGCAGACGAGGAGTTAGCTGTAGCCAAAGAGCGATTATTACTGCAAGAAAATGAGCTACAGAGCAAGTCAGGTACACACACATGCAGTACAGATCAGTGAAAGGCTGGTTGTGTACTTATTTTCATCATCATTACTGATCGAATCAATCACATTTATGCATTTAGCAGACGCTTTTATCCAAAGCGACTTACAGGGCATTCAGGCTATACATTTTTTTACCAGTATGTGTGTTCCCTGGGAATTGAACCCACAACCTTTTACGCAATGCTGTACCACTGAGCCACAGGAACACTTCAATCACATATGCTGAATAATTCAGTATTCAGTATTTAAAAATCACTATTTGTTATTTCAAGATATTTCAAAGACAGTCTAGTAAATAATTGAATAGACAAAATATAAAGTTGTGTTAGAAAGAAATATATCTGTAGGTTTGTTTTATTTCCATATCACTGAAAAGGAGCCCACAGTCCCCACAGGGGCCGTTCAACACAAGAAGCATTTTCAGTGTTTCATCAGTACTATTTTTATAATTGTTGGTCTACGTAGACATGTGTCAGATGGACGTCTTTGCCTTTTGCGTCACATCAATTTTTTCAGTCTCCCAGCATAAGTGCCCTGTTTTCGCTGTCAAACAGTTTGAAAAATGCATCTTGAGATCTGAGCATTCTGTTCCATTCCATTGCACCGCGTCTGTCTGCATCTCAGGAAACAAAGCTAAAGCGTAATTGTGGTACTTCAAGCTTGAAATGCTCTGAATGTAGGAAAATCCATTTTTACAGAATTTAAACATGGGATTACATGGCATGATTAAATGCATAATATTTTTATGCATTCTTTTTTAATATAATTAATTGCACTAATGTAACGTCAAATAAAAAACGACTGTATAATTTCAGTAGTAAATAAGTTTACTGTCAGCCATCGTCATTTATAGTCTGTTTGATATTAATTATTGCATTACTGTTGAAATGACTGCTTTTGCCATGTGACGGTTGTGATCACCAGCTTGTCCACTGATTGTTCTGCTTCCTTTGATCTAATCATCATCTTTCTCATTTCTGCAGATGAGTTAATGAGTCAGAGTTCATCTCAGGTGAGGGTCTCTGCTGAAGTGAAAGAGCTGAGGTCTCAACTCAGTCGTCTCAACATTAGAAACAAAGAGCTGGAGCTTCAGAACAGCGGCCGGTCCAATGATCACGCCCGCATGCTCAAACAGGCAAGCCCCGCCCACAAGCATGCATTCAAGTCACATATGAAGGATTGTGTTTATGAGTTGAATGCACATGAACATCACCGCAATGTCATAATTACAAGCGGAAAACTCAGGGTTTTATGTTAGCTCTGAGTTTCTGAGTTGGGGCGTGTCAGCAGTGCTAATATTGTTAATTAAAATTATTAAAAATTGTTTTCGGTAATTGAAAAAAAGCTGAAATAAAAGATAAAAGGTAAATAGAAATCTTAAAACTAATAAAAATGACAAAGGCACATAACAAAGTTACTAAACCTTTTTAGTTTTCATTTTAAAAAAATTAAAATGAAAACAAAAACAAGCTAATTCAAAATATTAATAAATACTGTAATAGCTATGGCATGTTTACGACTCTATACTTTTTTTGTTTAAATAAATTGTGAATTTAGGCATCACAAATATAATAATTCAGTATAAAAATTGTGATTTGCTGAAGATTCCATTTAACAGTCTTAAATTAAATTATTAGTGTTTTATAGATTAAAGAAGATATGTGAGCATTAGCTGACAGCAAAGGTAATCCAAAAGATATAAAAATAGGAGAAATGAGCATGCACAAGTAAATATTCAACATCAACCAATACTGATAAAAGAATTTCTAATATTGTCCGATAACTGAATGAAAGAAATCTTTTACAGTGCCTGAAATTTGTCTCAGATGGAAAAATTGTGACAAGAATTGTATGACGTGCTTCCGGTTTTAAACACCTCTTCTATTCTCTACATATGTGACCCTGGAGCACAAAACCAGTCTTAAGTCGCTGGGGTATATTTGTAGCAATAGCCAAAAATACATTGTATGGGTCAAAATTATTGATTTTTCTTTTATGCCAAAAATCATTAGGACATTAAGTAAAGATCATGTTCCATGAAGATATTTTGTAAATTTCATACCATAAATATATAAAAACTTAATTTTTGATTAGTAATATGCATTGCTAAGAACTTAATTTGGACAACTTTAAAGATGATTTTCTCAATATTTAGATTTTTTTGCACCCTCAGATTCCAGATTTTCAAATAGTTGTATCTCAGCCAAATATTGTCCTATCATAACAAACCATACATCAATGGAAAGCTTATTTATTCAGATTTCAGATGATGTATAAATCTCAATTTCGAAAAATTGACCCTTATGACTGGTTTTGTGGTCCAGGGTCACATATAAGAACACATAAACCATATGATGAAATCACATCCCAAATGAGGAATGCCATCTCAGACACGAAAGCCATGCACACACACACACACACACACACACACACAAATGACTAAAGCATACTTTAAATGCTTTTAATGATCAAACATCATAAAACATCACAGCTGACACATCAGAAGCTTAAAAGGCATTGTGTCATTCTTTCAGAACTACAGGATTACAGTTTTATATAATGAAGAGAGTCGTGTGTGTGTGTGTGTGTGTGTGTGTTTTAGCATGCAGATGCTCTATCCTCTATGCGTCTGGAGCTGCAGCGTGCTCACACTGAGGAGATCAGGCGCCTTCAGCAGGAGGTGGAGAACGAAATAAAGAATGACAGACAGGAACTGGAAGAAGAGAAGAAACAGGTGCAGCAGAAGATGGAAGAAGAGAAAGTGAGGCTGAAAGAACAGCTTCGGAAAGCACTGGAAGAAGTGATACGCAAACACGCCAGTGAGCTGCGGCATGCACACGCAATGCTGGACGCAGAGAAGAAGACGACGCAACAGGTTTCAGCTGCGGTTCTCATGCACACTTTTGACTTCTTGACAGAAATGATGCACTAGTTTTGCTAATAATTTCATAACTTCTCATTTGCTCCTGTTACTACTAGTGTGAAGGGCTGATTATCGGCACTCACTTTCTGATTTGATTTCTCTCTCAATTTGTTCTTGAAATTGCTTCATTTGGGAAGTTTTAAGTTCATTTTTCCAATAACAAAAGGCAGAGATTAAAAGATTGAACACTGGATTTTAAGAGAATATATAATCAGTATAATCTGTATTTTTATCCGTCTATACTAGTGTGGCTTTACTGATACAGTAAATATTAAATATTTTTCTTTGGGCTGCATAGACATACATCATTATTCACAATGCAGAGCTCCAACCCCAGTCCATTCAGACCAATTATGGAAACTAAGCTGCAAAAATGGGTCATTCTGAAATCAGAACCACGTTAACATATGATGCATATTCGGCATTCAGAAACTTGGCTCAACTTTACGAACATGCAGAGATTAGCCATCAGCTGCATAAAAAGTCTTAAAGCTACAGGAGCTAAAAACTGCTTATTTAAATGTTTAGTTGACCCAAAAATAAAACTTCATCCTCACGTCATTCCCGCATGACTTTCTTTCTTCCATGAAAATGTTCAGCCTTTTTCATGCAATGAAAGTAAATGAGAACCAGGGGCTTTCAAGCTCCAACAAGAACAAAGTAGCACAATTAAAACATCATAAAAGTGGTCCATACAACGCATGTTCTATATTCGAAGTCTGCTAAAGTCAAAGACTGAAAGTTAAGTTCCTTTCTTCCATGAAAATGTTCAGCCTTTTTCATGCAATGAAAGTAGATGAGAACCAGGGGCTTTCAAGCTCCAAAAAGAACAAAGTAGCACAATTAAAACGTCATAAAAGTGGTCCATACAACGCATGTTCTATATTCGAAGTCTGCTAAAGTCAAAGACTGAAAGTTAAGTTGTTTTTCGCTGAAAAACTTGCTTTTGTTGCATGGAAAAGAGCAACATTATGCTCAGAATGCTTTCTTATGTGTTTCGCCGAATGAAGAAAGAATTCAAGACAATGAACCAATGAAAGCATGAACTAAAGGAACACATGAGGGAACGGAATCACATGACAATGACAAGAACTATTAAGAGATTACAAAAAAAAACATGAAAACTTAAACATGAAACAAAAACCTGACAAAAGTGTTCAGTAGCTCATACAGTAGTGCCTGAATGTTGTGACACCGAGAACTGAGAAAAATAAATATCTTAATTGCAATATAAATCACTTTGGATGAAAGAGTCTGCCAAATGCAGACCTGCCAACCGGTACGCATATTGACCTTAAAGTACGCTGGTACGATTTGTCACTCTAAACTATGCAAAAACCTGGTGACCTGTCCACGCGCAGTAAACAAGCAACAGAAAAAGATGAGGAGTTCAACCAATCAGAGCGTTTTTTCCAGTTTTGCATTTAAATAATTTCCGTGTGTTTTATTTCTCTCCAAACTGGCTCTGTTTGTGTGTCTGCGAGTCGGAAACACGTGCATGGTGCATCTGAAAAAGCAACATAAGCCGTTACATTACAACTTGTAATGTGGAGCATTTCTAAACCTGTTGTCCAACAAAACAGAACATTATAACATACTCCACAACATCAGACAAATGTTAGAAATAACTTCCGTCCTGATCTGATGTGACTTCTTATCACAGAATGACGCAGAAATATATTCTATACTCATACTGTAATAAAGGCTATGTCGATTAGCAATAGACTATAAATATACTTATGAAAATATCCGAAGTGGTCACTGTTGAGTGTTTATTGTCTTAATGTTCTCTTTGAATGTCATCATTAAAAGCGTTTCTGTCTCCTTTCATTCAGTTACAGCAATAGCTGCTTTTGTCCATATTAGGGATTTCCTGGAGCGTTGTGAGCCTATTTCTTCGGTGATGCATATGTGGACTTTCTGCGTAAGGGCGCCCTCTAGTATCCAGTATGCATGAAACAGACATTACATGTGTTCATAGCACTAAATAATGGCCAATCTATAAAAATAATACTTCTCTCAAAAGAAATTTAAGGTAGACATGTGATAATCCATGTTTTTCTACAGTGTACAACAATGTACTGGAGTTTTAATTAAAGTATACTGGAGTTTTTTTTTTTTTTAGATAGCATTTAAAATCGCTAAAAAGAACTCTGTTGTGCCGAACCAAACTTAAAACTGTGGTTAAAAAACTATTGAACCTTGGGTTAAAATTTTCAAAGGTTGGCAGGTCTGCAAATGCATAAATGACTAACATGGCAAGTGGACTCAAGCAAAAGCAGTATTATGAGTAATATAATCTGATATTTTTGTTGAAATATTATTGAAATTAAGATATACTAGTATTATAATGTTGGTTTGACTACAGGTTGAGGAGCAGATGAAAACCAGAGAAGAAGAGAGAAAGGCTTTAGAGACAGAGAGGGAAGAGCTACGCAACCAACTACAGCTGTCCAACAGAGAGGTAAAGAATACCACACCGAGAAAGCTTTTCCTCTTAAAAACCAAAACAATCTTGGATATGTTTGCATAAGATTGTTGACCTACTAATGAATCAGGTCACCACAAATAACTTGAACTATATACGTATCAAGCTCTTTCAAATTGGTTTGAGGCTCAGGCGAAGGAAACAAACTCAGTCCTTCTGCTTAAATACACAGAGACAGACTGAGAGGCCTAGATCTCTCCATATGCCCCTGATAAAGCAGAAAACAAAAAGAACATTTGTAGTGCCCAAGGTACAGGCCTTTATCTAATGCTTCATCTAATATGCCAGCAGGCTTGGAACTGGGTTATAATAGCAAAGTAGTTGCTTAATAAGTGATAGCTAGGGAAGAAGATTGTTGTTTTAGTGCTGTGTCGCAGCGAAAGCAAACATCACTACAGTTTCTGCTATATATCAGAAAACCATGTGCTCTAATTCATGTGAAATACCTGGATTGTAGGGCGGGTATGCTAGTGTTTAATGATCTAGGTTGGTGCCCAAACGTTTTAGGTTCAAATCCCACAAGGGACAATTCTTGAAAAATCCAATGCTAGGTTGTTTGACTCAAGTTTGTTTCAAACTCAGTTCTTAGGTTTGCGTGTATAAAGCAGTTGTGGTCACACTTCTCACTATTAATTGCGACTTTTGTCTCAGTAAACTCCTAATTTGCTGTTTATTAATAGTTAGGTAGTTGTTAAGTTTAGGTATGGAGTCGGATTAAGGGGTCTAAAATATGCTCATGCAGAATAAGGCATTAATATGTGCTTTATAAGTATTAATAAACAGCCAGTATGCTAGTCATATGCATGCTAATAAACAGCTAGTTAATAGTGAGTGAATAGTGTCCTTAAAGTGATACAGCAATTGCAAAATTGCTAAAGCTGATCTCCTGACATGATATATGATAGTCTTATTTTATAGATTTGCCCTAATGAATATGTCACATGGGGTGTGCCTCCAAACAACTGCATAATAATGCAGATGGATTAAATGGCACCTGCAAAGTGATTTATGAATCCTGAAAGCCATTTCAGAAACGGTAACTGTGTGAGCAAATGAACAGGACTGAAAGGCAGGTAATCTCATTCACGCTGTGCACCACCATGCTGCCACTTTGGCAAAACTTTGAGAGCGCAGAACACATAGTGTGACAGTACTGCTGAATTGCTGAGATGAAAATATCCTCATGAGCAATTGTTTTAATCAAAGCTATATTTAGAATAGAAAGCATAAGTGAACTTACACTTCACAGTGCTGAGATATTCAAACAGAATACACAGCGTACACAACTCTTAGTTCATGTCCTCCTATTTCAATCCCTTCAACATTGCTGTCTAACTGGCCTCGCTCTTTTGTTGGACCTGCTGTCCACAACCAATGGTTCATGACCAAACCGTTGAGAACCTCCTTTAAATATTGGGACACAGAGACGACTCAATTTCCTATTATAAGCTCATTAAAATGTAGTTGGTATTTATAAACAACATCTTTGAACATGCCATCAGGCTTCTTTGTTGTAGATGTTACGAAGTAACAAAGTGCTAAGTTGTAGCTGTTACAAAGCTGTTGCTATTATGAATTATGTGTCTGCATTTAACATAATGGAATTTAGACGTTATGCACAAATATAATAAACATTAAATATTATAATATATTATAACTTTCATCATTCACTTTGATTATTAATTGCCACCAGGATGTGAAGAGATTTTCAACCAGAGTAACAAAAACATGTTAGCTTTAAATATTGCATGCATTTCTAAAAAATAATTTGTTTTCCAATTCAAATATCGAAACATCCTTAAATCAAGATACATTTACGTGTGAAAGAAAAGGACGACATGAATTTTTGTTTTCTGAGAAACTGAACAAAACGAAGCGAGATTATGCTTACGAATCTGGCAGAAATTTGTTCTCATAAACTCATCTTGATTTACACAATTTCTCACGAAACAAGACTTCTTGTCATTTTGCATCTCCAGTAAATGTACGTCGATTTAAGAGTCTTTAGACATTTGCACCAGAAAAACAAGACGAAAACATTGAGGAAGAACATCTTTTTCATTTTCATCATTTTTTGCTATTTGATCAAGAGGTACAATAACAATTATTTCCATATTCTAGTGGTTGAGAGTAGAGCTATTCAAGCCTTAAGCTTTTTTTTATTATTTATTTAAAAGCCTTAAGCTTTTGTTTTTGTAAAAATGAATTCAAAAGGAATGGGGATTGTGTTTTAAACTTTGAAGTGTTGCTAATACAACTCATTGTGTGAAGTATTGTGTTCCCTTCAATTTATTCCTAAAAGCCGTCTATACTTGGTCTTAAAAAGGTCTTAAATTTACACTTGTGACAACATTACCTGTGTTTGAGTGTAATAAGCAACCAATTTACTCTTACTCCTGAGCTAGAGAATGGATTGAGACACACACTATAATAATCCCCATTGTATCCCCATGAGAAAGAACTTTGACCCCTGGTTGCTTTAAATAAAGATTCCGTTCAGTAACAGAAGTTGATTTTCTTTATATGACCCACATAAATAGTAAACCTGAGCGGTTAGCGCATGCTCTAATGGTCCTTACAGGTCTTTGCTGATCTGAGTCTTCTTGGTTTGCAGATGGCGAAATTGGAGGAGGTTATTCAGACGCTGGAGAGAGAACGAGAAGAGGAGAAGGAAAGGGCAAAAGAGCGAGAGCAGGAGTGCGCAGAGGTGAAGCGGCAGACAGCATGTGGCCCGGAGTGTGTTCGAGTGAGAGAAGAACTGGAAAACACACGCAGCAGCATGCAGCAAATACAGGTACTCACTCCTGTTTGCTCCACACACACACTTCCATTTGACATGTGGACAAAGTGTCAGCGATGTCCCTTTGCATTACCGCACATCTCTATCCCACAAGCACACACAGATCTGCAATTCCTTTATGACAGCACAGTGTTCTGCTGATCTCAGCAGATCTGTGCCTTTAACATTCACCTAGCCACCGATCTCCTTTTTCTTCCTTAATCCATGGATCTTGCCTTCCATCCATCCTTGTCCTCCTTTCTTTTTATGTCTCCCACAGGAGGAGTTTGCTGCAAAGAAGGAAGTGTTACAGGCAGAGATTTCTGCTCTACAGCAAGAGAGAGACATTCTACAACAGTCCAATCACAGTGTAGAGGAGAGGATCAGGTGCGCCAGACATGAAGGGAGAGAAAGAGAAATGGGCTCGCATTGCATTTGTGTTTCCAGTAGTCTGTTAGTTCAAATATTTCATTTTGAGTCATTTTAAATATGTGATTAATTAATGAGTTTGAATGTTTAATGTCTCTAATGCTCACCAAGGCTGCATTTATTAGGTCAAAATCAAGTTCTTTTAAATTCGAATAATGTTTCACAATTTTTTCTATTTTAATATCATTTGAAGAAAAAAATATTTTTCAGTTTTCAGCATCATTCTCCAGTCTTCAGTGTCACATGATCAGAAATCATTCTAATATGCTGATTTGAGGCTCAAGAAACATTTCTGATTATTATCAATGTTGAAAACAGTATTTTTATGGAAACCTTAATACATTTTTTTTTTTTCAGAATTCTTTGATGAACAGAAAGTTCTAAAGAACAGTGTTTATTTGAAACAGAAAACTTTTGTAAAAAATTTACCAATTTAATGTATTTATCAATTTACCAAAAGTATTTAGCAATTAAATGCATTTTTTGGCTGAATAAAAGATTAATTTCCTTAAAAAAAAAAAAAAAACTTACTAACCCCAAACTTTTGAACGGTAGTGAATATCGTTGGCCCAAAATGGATGGATGTAGTTTTTGTGTATTTCTGCAACAGCACACAATGCTCTTACATAACAGTATGCAACTTAACTCAACAGTAATGCTATAATAATATTACGCAGTCTTTAAACACATGTTTGTCAATTAAACTGAGAACCAGAACTAAAGCGTAAAACATTTGTCAGATGCAATAATGTGTTAACTTTGACATTAAAGTGTGTAAAATGGGTATAGAGTGCAATTTTATTCATTAAAATGCATGTGTGTGTGTGTGTAGGCTACAGTTTGAGAAGCAGTTCTCTGATCAGATCATGGAACTGAAGAGAGAAAGAGAGGAAGAGATCAGAAAGATGAACCAACAGTGGCAACACAGAGTAGAAGAACTGCAGACACAGGTAACACACACACACTGTCAGACCCATCATACACACACGTCACTCTAGCAGCGGTATTCTTCGGTCTCTGTGTGTAGTTGGAGGAGAGGAGAGCACTCTCAGAGAAGATGGAAGGAGAGAGATGTTATGGTAATGGAGAGATAAAGCAAATGAAGCAGGAGATCCAGAAGACGAGAGATATGAACAGCTCGCTCAGATCTCAGCTTCACTCCACCATTCAGGAGAAAGAGAGACTGATGAGGCAGCAGCTACAGGTGCGTATACACTCGGAGACTGATAGAGTTCTTATGATTAATATAATTACCTTGTTTTGTTTGGCTGTTATTGGAAATATTTCTTTATGAAGTTTGACATGCTGAATGCAAAAATCACATTACTTTTTGAAAGTCATGAAAGCTAAAATGTAACTTATACAAGCTAACTTGTTATTACTCATGCATAAAAATGACATGCTGCATGCATAATACTGAGCTAACAACAACAGTCTGACATAAACAGTTCACAAAAGTGAGTTGTCCAAAACGTCAGAAGTGTACGCTGGATGATTTTTGTGTGTTATGACTTAAATGTTCCAGAAAGCACTAGAATATTACAGAAACTCCTAGAATGTTCCCATCCTTGCAAAAGCAAAATATCTTAAAAAAAAAAAAAAAATCTAGTACAAAAACTTATCTAAACCAATGTTTCATAATTAATCATAGAAGTTCTGAAATTTACCTGACCTAAATATTTACCAAAATATTGATTCTATGTGAAAATAAATAGTACAATAAGAATTAGCACCACAGAATTACAGAAGAACAATTTGTCAAACACATTTGTGACCCTGGACCACAAAACCAGTCATAAGGGTCAATATTTTTATCTGAATAAATAAGCTTTCCATTGATGTATGGTTTGTTAGGATAGCACAATATTTGGCTGAGATACAACTATTTGAAAATCTGGAATCTGAGGGTGCAAAAATATCTAAATATTGAGAAAATCGCCTTTAAAGTTGTCCAAATGAAGTTCTTAGCAATGCATATTACTAATCAAAAATTAAGTTTTGATATATTTACGGTAGGAAATTTACAAAATATCTTCATGGAACATGATCTTTACTTAATATCCTAATGATTTTTGGCATAAAAGAAAAATGGATAATTTTGACCCATACAATGTATTTTTGGCTATTGCTACAAATATACCCCAGCGACTTAAGACTGCTTTTGTGCTCCAGGGTCACATTTTTGTTACATTGTGTTATCATTAATATAACTTAGAGTACCGTTAAAGGGATAGTTCACCTAAAAAAAGAACATTCTGTCATGTCATTCCAAACCTGTGTATTTCTTCATTCATTTGGAACACAAAAGAAGATATTTTGAAAAATGCTTTTTTTTTTTATCAAAGTAAATGGGGTCCGGTGATGTTTTGGACTTTCACCGTATTGACAGAAACTGTTCAAATGATGACAGAGCACACACACAGCTGTGGAAAGAACTCCGTATGTTAGTGATTTTGTGTTGTCCTGTAGGTGGTAAAAGAGGAAGATGAGGGCGAGGAGGATGGAAGGGCTGCGGGAGAGAGGGAAGAGGAGAGGGAAAAGCGGGGGTGGCGTGAGCGAGAGGAGGAAAGGTTAAATCACCAGCGTGCTCTTCAGGCCCTGGAAGCACAAGCCCATGAGGAACTTCAGTCGGAAAGACAGCGCTTGCTCACACAGCACAAACTACAGCTGGGTAACCATCACGCCTCATACAGAATATTTGTGCAAAACCTAAAAAGTCAAATTTTTTGTATAATACTTACTTAGAGAGAGTCTATTCCACCAAAAGGACACAAGCAATATTCCCTAGCCATAGCAAAAAATGTTAACTATTACAAAAGTTTTAAAATAAGATAAAACCGTTAAAGTCATGTATCTTATTTGAATTGAACAACTGCCAATTCTATTAAAGAACCAGGGTTCTCATGATATTGGACAACCTGAATATACTGTATGAGGGAATTTTAAATGCGTGATTTGTAGGAATCATAATCATGCAATATTGATTGATGGATCTGCATAGAATAGTCTAAATTATGATTATATCTAAAGACATGAGGTAAACGTGTGAAGTGTGCACTCTTTTGGACTAAAAGTATGAATGAATATGTACATGTCTCGTTATTCTATTTGAAATATCAATAACTACCAATGATTTTGCATTCCTGAGAGAATTTAAGAATTATTACTGTCATTGTAACCAAGTATTGCCATAAACAGTGATCGAAGCTATCTAATAAATTCAAATAAGAATCCATATTTATTCTAAAAATTTTACTATAACAGCTGCCAAAAACAGCCTAACAGGCTTCATACAGGGGTGTAACTGTTCTCTGCATACCTCGGTTTTGGGGTCAAGGTTCGATACAGGAACAGGAAATGTATTTTTTCATTTATTTTGAACAGACAGTAGTGCTACATACATGTTGTTTTTGATTTGAATTTGACTGTATAATTTCAAGATTTAAAGCAAAAACAGAATGGTCTGACTTAAGATTTGACTTAAAATTATGCTACATACGCACCTGCACAAAACAAAAACAGCAGACGGACTGAATGAAAATGCAAATTTATTCTCCGACAGCAGGTGGCGCTTATGGAACAGCTTGGTTACCGCTGTAAACAAAGCAGCGCTGCGCTTATAAACACTACTTTAATATGCATTATGTGTAGGTAAGTGGAAAAAAAAAATGCCATCAAAGCATTTTTGAAGACGGTCAGTTCCTCTCAAGGAATTGATTGCAATACAGCATCTCTAGAAGCCGAAACTTTCCAATACTGCTGATTTAAAACAAGCCGGCGGTTCTTCAAGCCCTTGCGTGCCACCTGAACTCACCGTTCTTCTTGTTTTGGGTTGGCATGTAGATCGTCTCTTCTTCTGCTCTTTCCTGTCGTGACGGTTAGCATTGCATTACCATGTGCGCCCCCTTCAGATTGATCACCTATAACCTGTAATATAACCTATAACCACCTATAATTTGTCGTCTGACTGCATGAACCGAACTGTGATAGTCTGGGACGAATACATGTACCGATACACCCCTAATATATATATATGTAAAGCACTATAATATTTTATCGGGCAAATATTGCTATTTGTAAGTATGAAAAAAAAAAAATTTAAACTGCGAACTGCAAAACTAGAAGAGTCATGTACATTCATTGATAATAAAGAGTGTAAACCATGAATGACATTCAATTATGCAATAATGGAATTTAATTATTTTTATTAATTTGATGTTTTGTCCTAGTTAAAATAAGCAGCTTTTTCAATGTAGAAGTAGTACCGGAAGTATCTTGGTGTGCCTTCAAATATTGTCTTTGAGGTTAAGGCAGTGCATATTATCCAACACAGCTCACATGAACAAAATAATAACTCATTCATACTGAATATCCTGCACTATAAATCAATACCGCTAATCAGCAACAGATTGGAATTAAATTAGCATTTTGACTCATGGCAATTCGTTTAAAGTTTTAATAATTTCCAATTTTCCATTTTTTTATACAGACACACACATAAATCAATAGAACTCTCCTTATTAAAAAAGGTTACTCTCCTACATTTTCCAATTCATCCTCCAGCCTCGTCTTCTATCATTAGGGATATGAATGAGAAAATGAATGTTAATTAAAAGACTAAAATGGAGCGTAATAAATGGCAAACGCAGTCTTTGTATATTAAAAGGTTTATTCATAATATGCTGATTACCGTATTTGCACATATATTCCAATAGCTGTACTCTTTTTTTTTTTAGAAAAAAAAAAGGCTTTACCAGAATATGGATGCCGTTATCTGTCATAATGTGTAAGTTATATAAAACAAGTTTGTGTGAAAAACATTATTCCTTAAAATGAACTGATGATCATGCATTGTTTTTTGCACAAAAGCACCATCTAGTGCCACCGACTAAAGTAGAGCAAGACTGAAGACAGCGCATACGGCCACCTTTGTAAGCATGTCTGATCTAATGTGTCTTCCGACTGTGTGTGTGTGTGTGTGTGTGTGAGCACCATCTAATGCCACCGACTAAAGTAAAGCAAGACTGAATACAGCGCATACGGCATGTCTGATCTAATGTGTCTTCCAACTGTGTGTGTATATGTGTGTGTAGACAAGCAGAAGGCAGAGCTGACCCAGCAGCACACTGAGTGGGTGAGACAGGTCACCCAGAGACACATGCAGCAGATCGAGGACCTTCAGAACGAAATACACACATACACACAAATGATGGCCTTGCAGCAGGTACACATACAAACCGCACAGACACACACATTACACAAGCGTTCATCACCCCACGTCTCTCTCTCTCTGTCTCCTTCTCAGGATCTGAAGCAGCAAAACCGCTTACAGTCACTAGAGAGACAGCTGGATGAGAAGAGCAGCGAGGTTCAGGAGCTAAAAAGAGAGAACGAAGATCTGAAAGAACGCATGAGTGCAAAAAGCGCACAGAGAGAAGAACCAGATGACCACAAACATAAACACGAGAGGTCAGTATTAAAGGGATAGTTCACCCAAAAGTAAAAATGACCCCATGATTTACTCGCCTTCAAGCCATCCTAGGTGTGTATGACTTTCTTCTTTCAGACAAATACTATCAGAGTTATATTATAAGATGTCCTGGCTCTTCCAAGCTTTATAATGGCAGTGATCCATCATAAAAAGTGCTCCACTTGGCTGCGGGGGTTAATAAAGACCTTCTGAAGCGAAGCATTGCATTTTGCACAAAACGCGGATGATAATTTTCATTTTTGGGTGAACTATCCCTTTAAGATAACACACAGGCAGACAGTAACGAGATGACTTTAAACACACACACAGACAGGAGGTCAATAACAAGATGACCACACGTACACTCACAAGTGAGAAAACTGTTGACTATTGGCATATTAATCGGTCTTGTCCACATTGCTGCTTATTCTGGTCAAGAACTGCTTATTTATTCCCATTTAAATCAGTTTCAGCTATAGAAAATCAGCCTCTTAAAGGGATAGGTCACCAAAAACTAATCAATCATCAAAGTCATCAGTTACTCACTCTCATGTTGTTCCAAACCCCATAAGACTTTTGTTCATCTTTGAAACACAAATGAACATATCTTCAGATTTCTGTCTCCTGTTTAAACTTCTGTTGACCATATTTGATGTGCTCTCTGTATTTGCATTGATCAATGTTTATATGTGAATAAAAGCCTAAATTAAATCATCATCATATAAAGCTATCATGCTTCTGCAGAACATTTGGATTAAATCGCTCAATTCATATGAATTTCTTTTACGATGTCTTTATGAACTTTTTGAAGTGTCAAATTTTGAGGGAGTAAACTTTCAATGGTGGAACAGAAATCTCTTGTGTTTAATTTAAAAATATCTTCATTTGGGTTATGGGTTTGAGAGTGAGCAAATGACCAGGACACACAACATTAATGGCCTCATAAAGGCCAGATTGATGCAAAACAAAACTTAGGAACTCTACACTAGGATGCAGAGATGAGATACATATTCATTTGATCTTGTAGATATGTATGTCGCTTTGCACATCGACTCCGGGCAATTTATTTAACTCGTTCCCTGTTAGTATCTAAAATAATATGATTTTTTTTAATTAAATGTCATGTTTGAATTGATTGAAATCAATTTCATTGGTTATATATTAAATAACTTCTAGCATTTTATGATGGCATGAAGAAGCTGGATTAAATTAGAACAGATTGTAAATCTGTTTTTAAAACTCATGACTTCTAAATAAAGTTGTAGGCAGACGATTTACTGTAGTAACATTGTCATATCATTGTTCGCTCAGACAATTATGGACATTTTCAGGTGGTTCGGCTTGAACGCACCTGAACGATTTTTGTGGAAAAGTTTGTATTAAACAGAACAAAGATGTCTGAGCATAAAATGACTCAAACACATACTGTGTTTTTATGTATGAAAGCTTGTTTCTGCCACTGAATAAAAGTTAAAAAGGTAATTGCAACTTTTTATCTCACAATTCTGACTTTTTTCTTGGAATTACATATAAACTCGCAATTCTAACTTTTTGTTTTTCAGAAAAATTGCAACAGAGTTATGAAATCGGTATTGGGTGATATAAAGTCGCAATTGCGTGTTATAAGGTTAGAATTGCGAGAAAGTTTTATATCATGCAATTCTGAGAAAGTCAACTGCGAGATGTAAACATGCAACTGCAAGAAGAAAAGTCCGAATTATGAGATAAAAAGTCTCAATTATCTTTTTATTTTTTATTCAGTGGCGGAAACGGGCTTCCACATTTATGTGCAGATTTATAAGTAAATCTGATGTCTGCTATAGGCCTGAGAACAAAGCAGGATATACATGTTTGATACTGATTTATTTGTATCTGATGTGCAGTTTCTCGGAGGAACAAGATGAGGCGGGTGAAGCGGTTGGGTCGGATCACAGGAATAACATGGAGAGTGTGAAGAGAGAGCACAGAATGGAGATCCAGACCATAATATCAGACTTCAGCACCGCCCAAACACGACTACAGGCCCGCATAGTTGCCTTGGAAACAGAGTACCTACTCCTCCCACATCAATAATGCAAAACGCAAACAACGCATACATACAGAATTAACCCAAGCAGGACAATATATGGCGATGGCTCATGACTAGGATTTCCTACAGATCTCCACAGAACTGGAGCGAGTTAAAATTCCACACATCCCAACACCTTGCATGCTAATTTATGAAATATAGTGGCTAATTTGATAATAATTGTAGCTATAAAAATGCAGTACATAACAGTCTAACACATTTTACTATATTTTACCACTACTTAGGATTTGACTGCATCATATAACAGACTCTTTATTGCTAATGTGAAACCAGTGGTACTAGAACTTAGACAAAATACAGTACTAATGCGCGCAAAAGATTTTGTTAGAATTATTAATATTATCTATATGTGACCCAGGACCACAAAACCAGTCATAAGGGTCAATTTTTTTGAAATTGAGATTTAAACACCATCTCAAAGCTGAATAAATAACCTTTCCATAGATGTATGATTTGTTATGATAGGACAATATTTGGAAATATTTGAAGATTTTGACCCATACAATGTATTTTTGGCTATTGCTACAAATATACCCCAGCGACTTAAGACTGCTTTTGTGCTCCAGGGTCACATATTAGAATAGCATGTTATACAAGTCGTAATCTTAAATTTGACAGTATTTTAATGCAACATTAAAATCTAAAATAAGATTTCAAGAATAAAGTTAAAATATGAGAATAAAGGCATTTTTCTTAAATAAAGTTGTAATATATAAAAAAAGAATAAAGATATATTGCATAAATAAAGTAGAATAATGTTACACCTTTATTCTTGTCTAATTTCAATTATGAGATTGTTCTCATTTTGACTATGTATGTATATATATGAATATTTTTTTTCTTTCTAACTAACAGTTATATTCAGCATATATTTAATTTCTTAAGGTTGCATTTAATTAATATTTGTATGTCTGCTTTGTGTGCTTGTATTTTATGTTTGCAGGTTAAGAGAAAGGGAAGAAAGGGGAAAGAGAAGAGTAGAAAACCTACACACCATTGCTAAACTACAGGACAAGCTAAGCGAGAGAGACCAACTCATCAAAAGTCTAGTGGTTAGAGACGCACATACAGACACGTAACAGACACAGGATGCTCGGCTCATCACAGCGTTTCGCTTTCTATTTCAGGAGGACCTCCACCAGCTGTCCCAGCATCCACCTCTGTGCAGCGACGAAATATTGAAGCCTTATGACTCTAGGACACAAGCAGGGACCCTCACGCCTACTATGAAGGTAGCACAGACTTTTCCGAATCCCACATCACATCGGAATTCCATTCATCCAGGATCATACAATAACTGATAGAAGAACATGTTTATTGAAGCTCAGAATTAATCTGTTGTAATCTGCCTTCTGTTTATAGAAAAAGGGGGTTGAAGAAACTAGCATCCCGAACCTCTGCTCATACGATGGGGGGTCACCCAAGGCTAAATGTTCACCGGTTATGGAGCGTGGATTACCCAGTCTGGAGCAGAGCGGGCGAGGCACCACCCTAACAAGGACACCCCCCCCCACCCCCCCTCATGCTGAACACAGAGCCTCTATCAGACACAACTGTCCACCTTCACAAGAGGTGCGACATCAGCCGCAGCTTAAAATCAGCTACAGCCAGCACATCAGGTAATCACCCGGTCCTGAATGCAATCTTTGCTTTTTTGAAAACCTTTTTAAATGTGACCCTGGAGCACAAAAGCAGTCTTAAGTCGCTGGGGTATATTTGTAGCAATAGCCAAAAATACATTGTATGGGTCAAAATTATTGATTTTTATTTTATGGCAAAAATCATTAGTATATTAAGTAAAGATCATGTTCCATGACGATATTTTGTAAATTTCCTACCGTAAATATATCAAAACTTAATTTTTGATTAGTAATATGCATTGCTAAGAACTTCATTTGGACAACTTTAAAGATGATTTTCTCAATATTTTTATGTTTTTGCACCCTCAGATTCTAGATATTCAAATAGTTGTATCTCGGCCAAATATTGTCCTATCATAACAAACCATACATCAATGGAAAGCGTATTTATTCAGCTTTCAGATGATGTATAAATCTCAATTTCGAAAAATTGACACTTAAGACTGGTTTTGTGCTCCAAGGTCACAAATAGATAAATACAAATCTCAACATATGACTTGTTCATATTGAGAATTAATAAATAATACATCCTTGCATATTTTTAATTAAACAGATGCTTTATCCAAAGCAACTTAAAGATTCTCTGCATGTGGTGCCGTTTCTATTCTGAGAAAACTCATCTCATACTGTATGTAAAACACGGATTGAAATTGCTCGCAAAAGGATTTTTAAATGTAGGTCAAGGTTTCTAGGTCTGTGTGACAAATGACATCCCAATAACTATTTAAAACCAGTGTAGTTATTAAAAAAAGTTCAATTTTAAAAATGAAAAATGGTTCAACTGAAACATACCTGAGAAAAATGGGGGGGGAGAGAAATGAAAAAAAAATAAATAAATTCAGTCTAGAAGTCAGATGACCAACTATATTTGCCAAAATATGCAGTATACAACAGCACACACTATAACATATGAAGCAGCTGACACCTGAAGCCTTGCACATTCAAGCTGAAAATTACATTAAAAATGAGGTGCATACATTCTAACCTTGATATTAAAAAAAGTCCATAGACATGTTGTGTGAACTACCTATTCAAAGACTTGTTTTCCGAACAATAACCCCCCTTTTCCTGATCCAGTGTTAAAAAAAAGTCTGTTCCCTAACTCTTTTTCTCCCAAGATGTCATATTTACATTTCCTGTTCTTACTTGCAGTTATCTTGTGCTTTTGTTCCAGGACTCCTGCTGAGCAGAGGGTTATTGAAACAGGGTCTGATGGACAAGACCCTCAAAAGCAGGAGTGGTTCACCAAATACTTCTCTTTCTGAGGTCCCACAAACCTTCGGCCATATCTGTCCCAACATTTTGAGAACAAGCTCACCAAAGTCTCCTTTTTCTGCATAATTACACTCAACTGCAAGCTAACACCAAATAAGCTTTTCTACAGGATGCATCTCAATTTTATCCTGTTGAACGAGCGGCAGCACACAGGTTCAGTGTCTTAAAATGTCACAAAAAATGAAATGAGATTATGCATTAAACCATGAAGAACTCATCAGAACGATGAAGGACAACGGGACACTAATGTCATAGTGGGTGGGCATGGAGGTGACTTCAAATGTGGTGTGAAATGCTAACTTTTCTTAAAAAAAAAACTGTAACTATCTCAATATAATTCATGTATATCAATAAATTACATATTTTTGTTTTTTTAAATTGCATGATTGCACATTTTTTTTATTAGTTTTTTTACAGAACTTTAGAATATCGTTACTTGCCCTGGACTGGTAATTCTAAATATACAGGTCTATCTATTGTGTTAATAAAAAATAAATAAAAAAAACGTTCACTGAAAGAATCTGCCGTTCCTAAGCGCTTCTGTAGCTGACGGATAACTAAGTATCTCCGCCTGGAAAGATTTGAGGGCGCTCTTCAGCGTCCTCTGCTGGTTGGTCTGGGCTTTGTTCTTGTAGTTCATGCTCAACAGTTTCTCAGCTAGATAGTGCAGCCACAACACGTTGGAATGAGGATTATAGGTGGACCAGCAGTTACTGAGAGAGAGAGAGAAACAATGAGAATCAATGATTTTTAAATAACATTTTATCTGAGGCTGAAGGACATACTTGTTTTCTTTCTTCATTAGACGGTAGATTTCAAACTGATAATCTCCCTGACCCATAAACAACTCCTCATCATTAGAGATATCACATGACACCGTCAGTCCATCTGAGAGAGAGAGAGAGAGAGAGAGAGAGAGACAGAGAGAGACAGAGAGAGAGAGAGAGACAAAAAAGTGGTTTCAAACAGAATATTTTCCTATTCATTTGTATCAGGTTAACAATTTGTTCAACTCTTCTTTTACTATTTTTAACAAAACATCTCAATATAGTTTAAAACAAACGTGATTTTTTTCGATAGTATGTCGGTCGATAGTATGTGTGAATGTAACATGGAGGAAAAAAAGTTCACATTTCACAGAAAAGCTGGTTGAAAATCAGTGAACTTGGCTAGTTTGGGACCAAATATTGATTAGTAGTTAATTTATGGGAAATTTCAGTTTATTTATTTTTCTTGGAATAGTCGAGCTTCACAAATGCAAATCAACAGCTTTTATAAGAAATTCAAGAAAATTAAAGTTTGCTATAATAAATTCTACAGACTGTCAATATTATGATGTTGTATGATTTGAATTGTTAGATGTAGTTGAGAAGGTCAAGGAAGGACTCTGAAGTCAGGCCCAAAAAAAAAAAAACACCATTTTTAAGAGTAAGGCATGCAAAATGTATTTTAAATGGGATAACAACATCTCTAATAGTTATTAAACATGGGATTTGCATAACAGTCACGGGACAGAGTAAGAGTTTGTTCTCAGACTGACCGATCTCCAGGCGTGAGAGCGAGTAGTCGATAATGTTGACGTGAACCCCTCGTGTCTCGATGGAATGAACTGTTCCATTCAGAATGAACTCATTGTGCTTGTGCTTGATGTTCTTCACCAGGATGTTTCCCCAATGAAGATCTCTGAAACAACAGCACACAACACTAACATCAGCTTACACTGACAGCATGTACAGTACAGAAGAGTTTTTACTCACGTGGTACATTTACAACATGTTACCTGTGTTCGAAGCACAGCGCTTGCTCAGCTACAGCCAAAGCTGCAGTGACTTGATGTAGAACACTCTTGGCCTGGACCAGGGAAGACAGCTGCAATGATACACAAACTCTTTAAGTTTGTCATAATGATACACTAGAGCTCAAAGTATAAGGACACCCCACTTCTAATTAACAGGTTTAGCTATTACAGTGACTTATAAAGGAATAGTTCACCTAGAAAAAAATGACATTTCTGTCATCAATTACTCATGTCACTGTGTTTCGACAATGAACTTAATTTAATTAAACCTGAGATTTCCATCAAAAGCCCATTCCACAAAAGTTCATAAAGACATTGTAAAAGAAATCCAAATGAATTTAGAAGTCTTCTGATGAGACACGATGACTTAGATTTAATCAAGGCAGTTATTCACATAAAAACATCAATCAATGCACATATTCAGAGCACATCAAATATGTGACCCTGGAGCACAAAACCAGTCATAAGGGTCCATTTTTCGAAACTGAGATTTATATATCATCTGAAAGCTGAATAAATAAGCTTTCCATTGTTGTATGGTTTGTTAGGATAGGACAATATTTGGTCGAGATACAATTATTTGAAAATCTGGAATCTGAGGGTGCAAAAAAATCAAAATATTGAGAAAATCATCTTTAAAGTTGTTCAAATGAAGTTCTTAGCAATGCATATTACTAATCAAAAATTAAGTTTTGATATATTTACGGTAGGAAATTAACAAAATATCTTCATGGAACATGATCTTTACTTAATATCCTAATGATTTTTGGCATAAAAGAAAAATCAATAATTTTGACCCATACAATGTATTGTTGGCTATTGCTACAAATATACCCCAGCGACTTAAGACTGCTTTTGTGCTCCAGGGTCACATATGGACTCTTACACAATCTCTTAAAGAACTAATCACAGTTTTGGCGGAACAGACTTTCAGTGGAGACTTAAATCTCTCAGGTTTCATTCAAAATTTTCATTTGTGTTTCAAAGATGAACTGAAGTCTTATGGGTCTGGAAAACGTAAGAACCAAATGGTGATAGATTTTAAACCATACAATGACAAAAGCATCAGTGAGGTCAGGCACCGATGTAGGCCGTTGTTCCTGAATTCACCTCAGAGGTGTTCAATAGAGTTCAGTCTTCACAGAAATGACTAGAATAGCCCAACCTGTCTACAAAGGGAAACTCTTGTGTGTTCAAGGTACCTTTCCGTTAATGTTCTCTAGATCACTCCCTCCAAACTCAAACTCCAGGATTAAAAACAGCTGCTCGTCATCAAAGAAATCTGTGCCAATAGAATGAGTTCATTAATAGACATTAAACATCATAATACAATTAAAAGGCATGTAAATTGCTTTCATTTAGCTCACCAGGTCTGTCATTCTCAGATCCCTTCTGACGGTCAAACTTGTCCCAGGCTTTGAGCAGAGCTTCCGGATAATGTCCACGAACACAATGTAGACTAGAAGGTAAAGGAATAGTTCACTCACAAAGGAAAATGATTGAAAGCTACTTTCTTTGTGCCTTCTTTATGTGTGCATTCTTATAACTCTAACACACAAATCACCTCATTTTACACTCAAGTTAGCAAAGAAATAAAAGCAGCATACTTGTTGAGCCCAATGAAACCGTCTGTCTTGTTGATCTCCTTCATGTTAAGGCAGCTCAGCTCTCTGTAGGAACATTGAAGATGTGTTTGAATATTTACACACCATTGCATTTAAATGTACAACAGATTTTCTGAGCTATGCCAGCCATCCTACTTGGAAATGATGATTTCATGGAGGATTTCGCCAAAGGTTTTCTGTTGTTCACCATTGACCTGCTGACTGCCTTCTACTGGGATGATCTATAGAAATCACATTTAGACATTTTTGTAATTTTAAGCAATAATTCTGCTCAGTGACTTCTACTTGCATATATAGATACACATGTACATGCACAATTTGAAATACTACATGTGTTTGCATTAAGTCGCCCTGTGATGCTTCTACAATAAAATCACATGTGATTAAAATGTGCACATACTTTGAGAGCAACGGTCTCGTTGGAAGCGTTTATGGTTGAGAAGACCTCTCCAAACGTCCCTTCACCGATCTTGCTGCAGTGTTTCATGCGAGCTGGAGGGATACAGTCACTGAAGGAAAGTGGGCCGCTCTGCTGGCATTCCTGGTACACTTTTTCTGCATCACTGATATCTTCATCATATGAAGCCTAGACCACAGACAAAAAGAGGACAATCAAAAACAGGAGAACAGAGACAAAGAGAAATCATAGAGATGATCTGTAATGATATCTAGAACAAAATCTTAGTGAGTACTAACTCTGGAAAAAAGTTTAAAAACAAAGTTCTATTATATGTATTACCATATTACAATAACATTTTACTGTAGACATTACACTAATTTAAAAAGAACAGCTTTTATTCAAAATAGAAATATTTTTTAACAATAAAGTTTTGTGTCAGTACTTTTTTTTTCTTGAAAAATATTTTTATTCAGCAAGGATGTGTTAAATTGATAAAAAAAAAAA